AAAAAGAAAAAAAAAAAAAGGACAGAGGTGCTGCCGTGGGATCAAATCGCATCCCACACGCGGGCTTATGAATGCCATCACACGCTCCCCGCATCCGATCAGCTCGCAATCCCAGCCGCTCGTCAGCAGTTGATACCCCCATTGCTCCTGCCAGCCGAGGGGCTACTCCACATTCGCGTCAGCCCTTCAACCAAATTGCCCATCTACCTAAGCCAGGCTTCGCAGATACAGTGAAACCTCATTATAAAGAAAAATTTGCTACATCAAGATCAATGATTTCTAGCAAATTTCAGACTGCAATTTTATTGAAAATGGGAATACATACTTTGAAATGCTTCTAAAACACAGAAGACCTAGCATATTTAGTGATTACCTCTGATGAAATGAAGAGAAATCCATTAATATAAAAAGTACTCTCCTTTAAATAAACAAACTTTTGTACTGGAGTATTGCTGGTCATGAAAAATGAAAACAAAATTACATATGGTAAACATGCTCAATTTCCTTCTCAATCAACTTATCCACTCATGGCGCTTCCCAAAATAGAGGAACATTCTTCTAACGTACTGTTTATTTGAGAAAGGCATATTATAAAATGGATGAGCTAAAGAATTTCAACAAATATGTCCTGTTGTGTATTTTTTGGATGTCAAGTTTTCTTTGCATAAAGATTTGTTGATAAAGTTGTAATGCAGCATCTTTTAATTTTTCAACAATTTCTGCTATTTCTTGAGTAATCCCTATATGGGCTGTGCACAGAATCATGGCAAAAATTTGTAATAATGAAATAACAGCCTAAAATTACTTTGTTATAACAAAATTTTTATAACATTATGCCTATTGGAAACTGCCAGGACCAAGAATAAACTTTGTTATAAAAAGATTCATGGTAACAGAATTCTACTGTAACAGAATACAATTATCATTTCTTAAGATGAACGACTGCAGTAGTGACCTTGTAGGTGGGCACACTGCAATGACTTTCATGGGACTCACAATTTAAAGTTTACAGGTAGACTTTCCCTTCCCTACAACCAGTTTCTCTGCATAACAAATTGTATTTGATGGATTCACTGCCAACAAAATAGTTTCTCTGCCCATTTCATAGGGGTTTAGGGACTCACAATTTAAAGTTTACAGGTAGACTTTCCCTTCCCTACAACCAGTTTCTCTGCATAACAAATTGTATTTGATGGATTCACTGCCAACAAAATAGTTTCTCTGCCCATTTCATAGGGGTTTTCTACAATAATTTTCTGTCTCTCCCAACCACATTTTGTTTTCTGGTTCCCTGAATTTTGTTGTACAGAGGGAGAGAGAGAGAGTCTACCTGTAAGACCGCAATGAATATTTCATTTAGGGTTGTTCTATTTGTTGAGTGTACAGGTGGTACCTTGCAATTTGACCCTAATCTGTTGCAATCCTAGGGTTGAATTTTGAGACAATCTGTGAAATTTAAAAATGCAAAAAAAATTGGCCAAAGTGGGTCAAATTGTGGGGGCAAGGGTTCAATTGCAAGTCAACCACCCTGCAAATTTGACCATTGAATTGTGGGATGATAAAATTGCAAGGTACCACCTGGATCACACAATATTTTGTCACAGGATTGGTTAATGTAGGTTGACACTATACAAGTCCACTCATCCTACAACAGTTTTGTCTGCAAAAAAAAATGCTTTTTTGGTTCCACAGGATTCTTTCCCTGTTCCAAGGGTTTTCTACAACAAAATACTGTACCCTCTACAGAGAATTTATTCTGGTCCCTTGCGTTTTGTTGCAGACAGTCCACCTGCATTAGGAACAATTTTGGAAGAGTTCAGACTTGTACAAAGAGGAATTACAAATTCAGTCAAACTCCAAGGGACCAACAAAAAAAGGATTTTTTGAGTTGATGGAAACTAATGTTGAATGAATGTTGAAAACATAAAAAAATCACAGGAAGAAATATTTTCCTCAAATTTTCAAGGTTGGTTATACACATAATTCTTTAGTGAACATTTTAAATGTAACCACAAAGTACTGTAATTTCTCAACCAAGAAAAAGCTTCACAAACTTCGCTGAAACAGCAAGGAGGAGCTTTCAAGGTTGGTTACACATAATTCTTCAGAGAATATTTCAAATGTAACCACAAAGTACTGTAATTTCTCAACCAAGAAAAAGCCTTGCAAACTTCAATAAAACAGCAAGGAGATTCCTAATCAATATTCTCCCTAATCCTGTCAACACAAAAAAATGCGTTCCAAAGAATTAGAAAAGAGTACTGGATATGCATAGAATTAAGATCGCAGGGAAGCAGATCCTGCTTCGGAGTGCCCCACGCCGATGACAAGCACCCGTTCGTTCATATTTCGGATTTGCTTTCTCGCTTTTCTCCCAAAAAAAAAAGAAGAAAAGAAAACACCCATGAAGTAAGATCACGAGTGAAAAAACCCCCCGAGTTTCTCCACTTCCCGCAGAGGATAACATACTCTTTGGCGTACCCCAAGAAGAACAGGAAGGAAGTGAAAAAAAGGAACAGAGCGGCTTCTTCCGGAAGCGAGGCGGAAACGGTGGGGGCCTCAGCCGCGTGACGTTCGGCAGACGGATCAGCAGCCGAAAACCATCGCAGATCCGTGCTGAGTGACACTCCTGGTGGAGGGGGCAAGGGCCAAAACCCCTAACCCACCCAAAAACAGGGATGCCCAAAGCCATTTTGCCAAACAGATTGGATTGAATACAGTGCAGTAATCCCTATATGGCCCTTGCTCAGAATCAGGGTAAAACATAACAGGTAAAAATAGGTTTGTCAAAACTAGATTTTTACAAACAAGGCTCCCATGAAGAAACTGGTTAGAAAAATTGTAACACAGTAAGATTTGTCATAACATAATATCGCAGCAACAGGATAGAATTTACCTAAGACAACAAGAAGCATGGATGATAAATTAATTTTTGCAACACAGTTGGTCCTCAAAAAACTAAACTGATTCACCTCCTGGCTTAATCTTGTGATGCAAAACAGTGAAACAATATAAGTACTTCACTTCATGCTTCCATATGAAAACATCAATTTGTTCCATGGTGAAACAAAACTTCAACTCAAAAATGCTTAAATTTTTACCAAGAAAATTTTCAAAAATCTAAGACACAAAAAATGCCAGGCAGTTATTTATTTTTCAAGTTAGACAAGAAATTTTTGCAAATGCTTTTGACACCTGCATGACAACAGGGATTTTTGCCAAAAATGCTTGGTTTGACCCAGCAAACATTTCAAAAGTGGCAGTTCGGCATGGAAAACTACATGCAGAATAAAAATTATATTGCAAAATTTTCTTTTTTTGCAAAAAAAATTGTATTGAAAACGTTTTTGTTATACAGTACTAATATTGAATCAATCAGTTGCCAGGTGGTGGCATCAGAATAACTCAACTGTTATTCAAATGCACTTTGAACCTCTTCAAATTGAAAAATTTTGAGTCAAGCCACTGTTATGAAAAAAAGCTTTATATCAAAATTAGAGCCAAATGGTAGAACCCTCATTCAAAAAACTAGATGAAATTGAAATGGTCTTCATGCCCTTCACAAAGGAATAAGGCATCTTTCAACAGGTAGGACATCTAAGAATATTGAGCTGTTCTCATAAATTGGCCAGAAAACAATTTTCATTGATTAACCTTATTCACAAATGCTTGATTCTAAAATTTGTTCCATGGTGAAAAAAAACTTCAACTCAAAATGCTTGTATTTTTGCCAATGAAATTTTCATAAATCTGAGATTCAAAGAATGCCAGGCAGTTATTTATTTTTCAAGTTAGACAAGGACGGTTTGCAAATATAAAGAGGCAACATTCTGCAGCTCAAAAACCCAAATTCAAGCAAAATACCTCTAATATTGACTTAGAGAGGTTAAAATATAATTTTTAACAATTAACAATTGGAAAATTATTTCCACCATTCCATCAAAAGCCTGCACTGAAATTGCTCATGAAGTAAAAGGGGAACTCAGCATGTAAAAAAAAAAAATCACATGTTAAAAAAAAAAAATCGAATAAATTACGAGTGGCAACACTGGGGAAATCGGGCGCCTGGTTTCATGGGAGCCACTTGATTCCCGAATCCTCTCAACCCTGCAACTACCCCGGTTTTATTCCTCATCTCCTGTCAAAGCGAGTGATACATGTTATTCCTCTCCTCTCACCATTTCCTTATTTCGCCCCCCTTTCCCCTCCCAAAACGCGCCAAGCTTATTATTTATCTTCCTGGTCCAACCCGGAAGGTAGCACCAGAAGGCTGCCCACTCGGTTGCTGCTTCAAAGCGAGAATAAAAGTATTTCAACGCGAGGTATTAAAAAAAGAAAAGAAAAAAAATGCGGCAAGGGTGAGGAAATGATTTTTTCCCCACTCAGCACCATTATCACATGCTAAAATAATGAGGACAACGTGAACTCAATACTTTTCGTTAAGAGTAATTTGAAAGAATTAATGGCTAAGAAAACTGATCAGCGATAAATTTGTGAACATATACAGAAAAATACTGTACTGTAGTAATAATTTTTTTGAACAAGTGAAATCTCTCTCTTTCTACAACAAAATCCGAGAGACCATAGTAAAAATCGTTGCTGTAGGAACTTTGCTGTAGAGAATGCTTTCAACAAGGAGAGAGAACCCAACAGTACCAAAAACAAAATTCGTTATACAGAGAATATTGTCGTCTGTATACATAAGTACACTGTTAACTATTACTTTTCGTTCTTCAATGGATCTTGCAGAGCTTTGTCAAAAATACATAAAAATTAGGATCCAACATAATTCAACTGTTGAAAAAATATAATTACAGTGAGATCCCCACATGCAGACACCTCAACATGGGGACAATTTGATATAGCGACATTTATTTTTCAATATAAAAAAATCATAAAAAGGCCCAACATAGGGACACTGACTCAACATCAAGGACATTGCATGATAAAATTGCTTATACATTTTTTAAAAGGTGACTTTCATTAGGCTTAATTGCAAGAAACAGATATTTCCAACCCTAAGATCTATGCAAGAAAAATTCTTTGGTACTTTTCCCATCCATTCAGTTAATTAAAAAAATTACCTATAGCACAGATAGACTTCCTTCTCTGTTTGTGACTTGGATGTTATTTTTACAGATGCCAACGTTTCAATGAACTGTACAGCGGTATACTATTCAATGCTCCAAATGTTCTTATTGGGTTGAAAACATATTCACTGAATCAAATTCAAGTGAAAATTTTTTTTTTATGGAATTCTGAAGAATATTTCTTCCCTGAAACACCAATTAAAAATTATATAATGTAAGTTTATGGGAAAACAAGACTCAACTTTGGGACACTCTTGATGCACCAACATGTACACATCTGGGCATCTCACTGTACTGTACAGCAAATTTGTTGTAAAATTATTCAAAAGTTAAAAATTAAAACCAATTAGTGCTCTTGAAAATCCAAAATTTTCATTTTCATCAGTTGAAGAACTAGTATGCTTGTAATTTTTATTTTAATGCTGACAATTATTCAACTGCTAAAAATGAAAAATAAAAACCAACTAGTGCTTTTGAAAATCCAAACTTTGCAATTCCATCAATATTGAAGAAATCTTATGGCTGTATTTTTTCAAACGTTGACATGTTTTCGGTCTGCAAGTACTGGAGCCAATCGGCGCTTCACAAAACCCCTCTCTCTCTCTCTCTCTCTCCCGCCAACTCATCTGAAGTTACCGCCCACAAGGCAGCCGCCTTCAAGCCAATCACCACCGAGAATAAATAATAAATAAACAAAAAGGGGGAGGGGAAAAACGGACGGAATAAAGACACCACATGCCTAGTCCCGCACTGCGTCGTGTCCCGCGAAGTAGATTGCGTCAAAGAGACATATGCTCTTGATGATCTCAAGAACAGCAGCCACTTTTTCTCTCATGATGGGCTTTTTATCCCGTCTTTTATGTGTGTGTGTGTGGGGGGGGAGGGAACTGAAATGTGGCGTGGGGGGGTTGGGGGCATCATTCGTTGACAAATGCAAGCGAACCCAACAGCGCAAAAAATTGATAACGGAAGGAATCTCCCAAGGATTTAATCCAATCACTTCTCAACCAAAACTGACTATGAGCAGTGTTCCCCAACCTTTTTGAACCGGGGACCAGCGAATAAAAATAAATAAAAAATTCTGCGGACCAGCTACAGTGAGACCCCCACATGCGGACAATTTGACATAGGGACACTAATTTTCCCAGAAAAAAATCAATAAATAAGGCCCGACATGAGAACACTGACTCAACATAGGGACATTTTGTGATAAAATTGCGAATACATTTCAGGCCAAATTACAAGAAACAGATATTTCCAACCCCGAAATTGATGTAAACAAAGTTCTTGGGCATTTCTCTCACCAAATTACCATCCATTAATAATGTAAGTCTATGGGAAAACAAGACTCGACTTAGGGACATTTTGACTTGGGGACACTCTTGATGCACCAAATATGTCCGCATCTTGGGCTCTCACTGTATTTCCAAAATATTTTCTATGGACTGGCAAAGTTTTACAAAAAATTTTACAGACTAGGAAAATTTTTTTTGATAGTCTATGGCAGGCATATAAAAGTTTCTGCTTCTTGGGAAAATGGAATTAAGCACCTACATAAAGCACCTATAGCTGAATGTCATCAAAAACTTGAAAAGGTGGGCTTGCAGAAAGGTTTTTCAGAATGAAAAGTTAAACTAATTTATTTCAGCAGGTAAATCTGTGTCTGAAGTGTTATTAGGAGAAAAGCCAACTTTAATTTTTCATCAAATGATTTAAACTACCATTGTCTTTCCAAAGTTTTAGATAATGATAACAGAGTTCATTCCTACTAGACTCAGAAAAGTTTTATTTGACAGACTTGATGGCAGGTATTTAAAAAGTGTCTGCTGTTTTTTATTGTTGTTGCTGCTATTGCAAAAATGGAGTCAAGAACCCATGAAGCAGTTTTAGTGGAATGTCTTTTTAAAATGCCTTCAAGACTTTTTAATAAAGTACTATAGTATTAAAAAATTTCTGCAGACTGGCCAAAAACTTCTGCGGACCACGGGTTGGGAACACTGAATTTGAGGCGACACCAATCCAACATTTGGGAAAAGGCTGAGGCGTGAAGTACTCTTAAATTGTTCAAATGTGTTTCGCAAGTACAGTAGTACAATATAGTTCCGTAACTAGAATGTCGGTAATATCGATGATTATGGAAATTAGATTATGCGAATTTACTGACCTGATCAACAGGACAGCCCCCAGCAGCTCCGTCTCCTTGGGACCAAACCAGGCCCAGTGCAAAGCTCGCCAACTTTTCTCGGATGCTCTCTATCCAACATGCACTCGATCTCCTGAAAAAAAAATAATAACGAACACCAAGATTTTTAGAAATGTGCCCAGGCGAAAAAAAAATGAAAGCAAGAATTCGAACAACCGAAACATCGGCGAACTTCCACAAGCTTTTCGAAAAAGAGCCGAGAAGAAAATGTTGCACGATGATAGTGAAAAAATAAAAATTACTACGTTCAGATTACAATAATATGGAAATACTGTACAATTTTGTTGTTGTCGAGAACCTTCGATCAAAAAATAAATCGTTTCAAGCCTGAGTAAACACGCAGCTTTTCTATTTTTTTTTGCGAAACATTTTGTTTGAACAAATCGGCTAAAGAAAAAAAAATAGTCTCTCTAAACTTCCGTTGTTTTATTTGCAACTACCTTCTCAAGTTGATGTGACAAAACGATCAACACTAATAAGTTTTGATTAAAAATTTTTCCACATGTAAATTTACATAAGTGTGTTAGGAACGCAGTCACCCAAAGTAAAGTTATATTATTTGTATACTTGTCATTTCCTACTCAGTGTTTGAAAGAAAGTTGCATGAATGTGTTCTTCTTGTATAATTTATGTTTAGATTCCTGAATCTCCTGATTTGAGTGAGTAGAAGAGGAAATATCCAGAAAAGTCTTTCCAAGACAAAAAAATAGTCTTTATTTGTACAGTTGAACCTCTGTAAGTTGAATTTCAAGGGACCTGCAAAAAAATGCAACTTAGGGAGGGTTTGTTAATTACATAGGTTTGAACTACAATACAAAGCATTTTTTTTAGGAAAACTTCTTTTCATTTCTTCAGTATTTTTCTTTTTGTACAGAAAGCTGCCTTTGACACTCTCTTGATAAAGCTCGTCATACAAAGTTAAGAATAAAATAATTATTGGGGAATTATAACGATAATTTCCACCAAAAACAAATGAATCAACTAGAAAACCCAACCCCAGAGATTACCACGATTTCAGCAAACAATAATGTGCCACTTTTAAAGGGAAAAAATAAATNAATGTGTTCTTCTTATATAATTTATGTTTAGATTCCTGAATCTCCTGATTTGAGTGAGTAGAAGAGGAAATATCCAGAAAAGTCTTTCCAAGACCAAAAAAAAGTCTTTATTTGTACAGTTGAACCTCTACAAGTTGAATTTCAAGGGACCTGCAAAAAAATGCAACTTAGGGAGGGTTTGTTAATTACATAGGTTTGAACTACAATACAAAGCATTTTTTTTAGGAAAACTTCTTTTCATTTCTTCAGTATTTTTCTTTTTGTACAGAAAGCTGCCTTTGACACTCTTTTGATAAAGCTCGTCATACAAAGTTAAGAATAAAATAATTATTGGGGAATTATAACGATAATTTCCACCAAAAACAAATGAATCAACTAGAAAACCCAACCCCAGAGATTACCACGATTTCAGCAAACAATAATGTGCCACTTTTAAAGGGAAAAAATAAATAAATTAAATGCTATGATGACTGAGAAATTTCATAGTGAATAAAAAATAAATAAAATAAAGAAAAGAGATTAGGGTTAAAATTTCAAGGGACCTGCAAAAAATTCAACTTAGGAAGGTTTTGAATAATATAGGTTTGAACTAAAATACAAAACACTTTTTTTAAAGGAAAACTTACTCTCATTTCTTCATTCTTTTGATATTTGCGCAGAAAGCTGTCTTTGACACTCTCTTGATAAAGCTCGTCATACAAAGTTGAGAAGAAAAGAATTATTGGGCACTTGAAAAAATAATATCCACCAATAACACATGAATAAACTTGAAAAATGTGCTCAACCAATCCCAAACCCCAGAGATTACCACGATTTCAGCATACAATAATGCGCCACTTTTCAAGGGAAACAATAAATTAATTTATTAAATGCTATAAAGATTGAGGGACCTCATGGTGAATAAAAAAATAAAGAAAAGAGAATAGAGACGAACCTGTACACACGGATGCTCAACGTGATCATGGTCGTCAATTCCGCCAACATTTCCCCCACAGTCGCACTCTGGCTAATGCACACTTCTTGCAGTGCCAAAGGCTTCCAATTCTTTATCACCAAGGCTCCTGGAAAGCGCAAAAATATGACCAGCATTTAATTTTTTTTTTTCAAAATCACTGAACGAGTTATATTTCAGGGCTATATTTCAGGGACATAAAAACATTTAGTTATAAATAATTCATATAATTCATTGTATGGTACAGTAATAAGATTCGTCAAGACGAGATTTCACTGTTTAAAGAACTGTTTGAAGAAATTAAAATTGCAACTCGCATTTTTGGGTAGGGGTCCTGGAACACAAAATTAATTGAGAGGAACAATTCGTTACATCGCGATTCCATGCAACGAGAATATACTTTACTCTAATGCGAAATTAAATTCAACAAAACGCACTTTGAGTTGAATTTGCAGAGAAAAAAAAAAACAAAATGACTCACCAGTGGCATACACGCATTCGGCTCCAGAGAAGCCCAGTTTTGCCAAAGCAGTGGGTACCAGGTCCACAAACGGCGTTTCCACCGGCACAATAGCGTACGCATCTGACAAACCCCGGTCTTCCACTCGGTTCCCGTTACTATCAATCTCCACTGAACACACCGTGCAGTGAATCGGTATGGATTTCCCTATAAATTCAAAAGCACAAAAATAAGAAAAAAATAAAAGTTGATCAATAAAACCTCTCACACCAACAGCAAGACACACACTTTAAAAATTTCTTTAGGGCAACCATGGGAACCTATAAAGCACAGATTTTCCAACAGGGGTGTAAACATATAATTAAATGAGTCCTGAAACAGGTTAATAATACCCTTTTCTTTTTGTGGTTTTCATGTGCTCTTAGATTATGCTTAGCAACAACCAGAATCAAACCTTTAATAAAGCACATATTTTCAAACAGGTGTAAACATATAATTGAATGAGTCCTGAAACAGGTTAATAATACCCTTTTCTTTTTGTGGTTTTCATGTGCTCTTAGATTCTGCTTAGGAACAACCAGAATCAAACCTATGAAGCACAGATTTTCAAGCAGTTGTAAACATATAATTGAATGAGTCCTGAAACAGGTTAAGAATACCCTTTTCTCATTGCAGCTTTCATGTGCTCTTAGATTCTGCTTAGCAACAAACAGAATCAAACCTATCAAGCAGAGATTTTCAAACAGGTATGAACATATAATTGAATGAGTCCTGAAACAGGTTAAGAATACCCTTTTCTCATTGCAGCTTTCATGTGCTCTTAGATTCTGCTTAGCAACAACCAGAATCAAACCTTTAATAAAGCACATATTTTCAAACAGTTGTAAACATATAATTGAATGAGTCCTGAAACAGGTTAAGAATACCCTTTTCTCATTGCAGCTTTCATGTGCTCTTAGATTCTGCTTAGTAACAAACAGAATCAAACCTATAAAGCAGAGATTTTCAAACAGTTGTAAACATGTAATTGAATGAGTCCTGAAACATGAAGAACACTGGAATACCCAGTTCTCATTGTGGCTTTCACATGCTCTTCAATTCTGCTTGGCAACAACCAGAATCCCTAGACCTAAATGTTTCCTTGCCTTGAAAAATTGTCTCCCAATTTAAACTGATTCAATCAATACATTTCAAGACAATATGGACAGTTGGGGAATTGAATACTGATACCTCTGTACAGTACATAGAAATGTTGGTATTCTCTGTAAAAATAACCTTCAAGTGAAAAAGAAAGAAGGAAGTCTCTCCATGCTGGGGGTAATTTTTTAAATTAGCTAAATGGATGGTAAATTGGTGAGAGAAATGCCCAAGAACTTTTCTTGAATCAATTTTAGGTTTGGAAATATCTGTTTCTTTCAATTTGGCCTGAAATTTATTTGCAATTTTATCACAAAATGTCCCTATGCTGAGTCAGTGTCATGTCGGGCATTTTTTATTAATTTTTTTATGGGAAAATACGTGTACCAATGTAGAATTGTCCGCATGTTGGGGTCTCACTGTACTAGAGACACGTAGTTGTTAAACACGGTACAATAACAAGGATGAAAAGCTCCGAGTCCTAAACTTGAAAGCAAAAAAATAATGTCCCCTTCTCTGTAGAAAATTTCACTGGAGAAAACCCCCCTGGACGCACATTCTTCCCTCCAGGATCAGCTCGCGATCTTTTAATGGACTGTGTTGCCCTGGGCTCTCTCTCTCTCCCTCTCTCTGCAAAAGAGAAAGAGAGAGAGCAAAAGGGAAAAATTTGCAGCAGCAGCAGCAGCGAGCTCAGGGCTTAAAATCTCAAAATCCGCTTGTAAGGTCACTCTGCTAAAAATCCTAGAAAACCCCCCCCCCCCTGGCCCCGTCCGGCAAAGCAGATTTCCTCAGTGTGTGTGTGTGTGTGTGTGTGTGTGTTTGTATCTCTCTTTTGTTTTCTTTACTTCTTCTTTACTTGATCCCGAAAAGTCCCAGGTTTTAGTTTCGCTTCATCTTATGGCTTCACCGGACTCCAGATTTTCCGAGCTGCTACAACAAAGTCTCTCTCTCTCTCTCTTTCTTTTTCTCCACCTGTATTATTCTGGACAAAGTCACAGATCGGGGATCCAACCTCTTTTTCCCCTCAACGTGTTTTTCAAGTCCTTCTCTCGTTCATCCTGCATCTTAGCTTTTCGAAAACACGAGATTTTGTTTTTTTCTTTGACGAGAGAGAGAGAGAGAGAGAAACAGATAAATAACCGTGACCTTTGTGTTGCAATTAGAGCTGGTTTTGAAAACTAATCGGATTCGTTTCCATGGAGTGATAAAAGACACGGAAGCTTCTNAGAAACAGATAAATAACCGTGACCTTTGTGTTGCAATTAGAGCTGGTTTTGAAAACTAATCGGATTCGTTTCCATGGAGTGATAAAAGACACGGAAGCTTCTTTTTATAACCCTGGAAAGAAGACGTTCTTTCCTGGATTTTTAAAGAAAAATCAGAAGCCTTTGAGTGAGCACCCTCCTGAATTCACTTCCGAGGGGATTCGGATTAGAAGTGAGGTCAAACCCGGGATCTTCGGATATTTCACTCAAGAAAATAAGACACAGCGTGCGACGTTGAAAATTCCTGGGAATTTTTAAAAATCATTTTCTGCGCTCTTTTTGTAAAATGGAATTTTTTCTCTTTACATACTAAAAGAACCCCTGAAAAATATAAATTTTGCATGGAGTACACAAGGAAATGACCATAAAAACTTATTACAAGGAAGCGATTGGGGGATTTAACAAAGCTTTGATATTCCTAAAACAAACATTGTAAAATTTGATTTTCAGAAAACATAGCTGACAATGGAGTTGACAAAGAAAATGACTGTAAAAAATCATTACAAGGAAGCAACTGGAGGAATTGAAGCTTTTTCATACCTAAAACAAACATTGTAAAACTGAATTTTCAGAAAACATGCCTAGCAATGGACTAGACATGGAAATTATTGTAAAAACTCATTAAAAGGAAGCATTTGGGGGAATTAACACAACTTTTTATACCTAAAACAAACATTGTACAACTGGATTTTCAGAAAACATGGCTGGCAATGGAGTAGACAAGGAAATGACTGTAAAAACTCATTACAATCAAGCATTTGGGGGAATTAAAAAAGCTTTGTCATACCTAAAAGAAACATTGTAAAATTGGATTTTCAGAAAAAAATGGCTGGCAATGGACTAGACATGGAAATGACCATAAAAACTCATTACAAGGAAGCAATTGGGGGAATTAACACACATTTTTATACCTAAAACAAACATGGTAAAACTGGATTTTCAGATAACATGGCTGGCAATGGACTAGCCATAGAAATGACTGTAAAAATTCATCAAAAGGAAGCAACTGGAGGAAGTAAAGCTTTTTCATACCTAAAACAAACATGGTAAAACTGGATTTTCAGAAAACATGGCTGGCAATGGACTAAACATGGAAATGACTTTAAAAACTCATTAAAAGGAAGCAACTGGGGTAATTAACACACATTTTTATACCTAAAACAAACATTGTAAAATTTGATTTTCAGAAAAAAGGCTGGCAATTGAATTGACAAAGAAAATGACTGTAAAAACTCATTAATATCAAGCATTTGGGGGAATTGAAAAAGCTTTGTCATACCTAAAACAAACATTGTAAATTTTATTTTCAGAAAAAAATGGCTGGCAATGGACTAGACATGGAAATGACCATAAAAACTCATTACAAGGAAGCAATTGGGGGAATTAACACACATTTTTATACCTAAAACAAACATTGTAAAACTTTATTTTCAGATAACATGGCTGGCAATGGACTAGCCATGGAAATGACTGTAAAAACTCATCAAAAGGAAGCAACTGGAGGAAGTAAAGCTTTTTCATACCTAAAACAAACATGGTAAAACTGGATTTTCAGAAAACATGGCTGGCAATGGACTAGACATGGAAATGACTGTAAAAACTCCTTACAAGGAAGCATTTGGGGGAATTAACAAATTTTTATACCTAAAACAAACATTGCAAAACTGGATTTTCAGAAAAAAAGGCTGGCAATGGAGTTGACAAAGAAAATGACTGTAAAAGCTCATTACAATCAAGCATTTGGGGGAATTAAAAAAGCTTTGTCATACCTAAAACAAACATTGTAAAATTTTATTTTCAGAAAAAAATGGCTGGCAATCATATCTGATGTGAGTCCCCCTTTCCACCAACCTCAACTAAAAATTTCCCAGAATTCTCCCAAGCTTTCTGTAAGGAGCTTTCACAATAATCTTGAAAATACTGTACAAAGGACTCAAAGATATCTACTGTTCATATTACAGTAAAATCTCGTTGAAACAAAGCCATTGGACTCATGAACAAAGCTTTCTTTGTGACCAAAAACACTGAAATAACATTGAGGCTAATTAATTGAAATATTATTAACATTGAAAAACTGTAATTCAAAACAATGACGCTGAAATGAACTTCGTGGATTAGCATGAAAAAAATCTTGCAAAACCCCTTCCAATATATTTACGGCATTGCAGCAGAAAATATCAGCACACAAAAGGCATCCGTCTTTTTTTATTCTCTTCAAAACAGAAAATTACCATTAAAGAACAATAGCGAAATAATAAACAGCCCATATACAGGCTATTCAGTTTCTGACTCGGAGCAAAAATCCAACACTGGTTCATTCCCAGGGGTACAATGAGCAGAAAGGGGGCGACTTAGATCAGATGATCCCAAAAAACGTCACAGACAACTTTATTCATGAGCACACTCAATTTTAAGTGAAAAGACAGGCCAAAGGATTCGGGACCACCCGGGCATGACAATGGATTCACACCCATATAAACGAGATTTTACTGTAATATGAACAGTAGATATCTTTGAGTCCTTTGTACAGTATTTTCAAGATTATTGTGAAAGCTCCTTACAGAAAGCTTGGGAGAATTCTGGGAAATTTTTAGTTGAGGTTGGAGGGGGGGGCTTGGGTCCTCTATAACTGAATCCCAAGACAGAATAAAGTAGAAGGTGAGATGCCCGAAAAGAAGGAACAACGAAATAACACACACAGAAAAATGGAAATAAGGGGGTTGAAAGCAAAGACAAACCCAGCGTTGCGAGAAGAGATCCTGGGGGCAATCAGAGTTTTAGACCAGATTTCTCACCCCCCCCCCCCAGATATTGTTGGTCTTTCTATGACTCAGAAATACTTCTATTACAAAATACTGTATCTTAAGTACAGTAGAACTTCTGCAAGTCAAACTCTAGAGGGGTCCACAAAAATTCGACTCAGTAAATTCTACTGAGAGAAACTGCAATATTTTCAAAAGTTGACAACACTTGACAACACTTGTTTTTGACTTTCTAAACAATGAAATACAGAGGACCAGCAAACAATCTGTTCTAGAGAGAATTTTGTTGCTGACAGAAAATTCAATCATTGTAAAAAAGAGTTTACCTTTATTCAATCTTTAATCAAAAAACCAACTGCAGCTTTTCATTCCAAAGCAAAAAGATTATTTAGAAGGATCCCACATTTTCTCTGACTTCCTGAAATTTTCAACATCACACCTTAATTCATCACCATTGAAAATGTCCATCCTGCCAGCTGTTCCAGTGGGAGGATCAGGGAGTGGTCAGGCAAATGCGAGATTGACACCAATCACACACAGTGGGCAGTGATCACACCTACCACCCACCCACTCCCCCTCCATGGGTGCTTTTTGTGCACTGTCCCACAACAGACCAACAATAGATGAAACCAAGTGAATAAAGACAGTCAACTCCCATTTGACAAGAATGCCACATAGCTGAAAGACCAGTGTGATGTGAATGCCTAAAAACCCCTGGGATCTCAGCCAAAAAACAGAGGAGGCCAGGGGAAAGAATTTAATTGGGAAGGAGGGTTTGGCGCGGAGTTGATGAACTGCCCCTGCCTGCAAAAGGTGACACCTCAATTTTCTGCCACAAAGCAATTATAAATGGTCAGGTATCTATTACTGATATGTCATTATAATTTTTAGTAGAGTCCCAAAACACGTAAAGAATACCTACACAGTTCAGAGTTCTGTGGATACTGTAATTCCACCCAGTAACTCAGTTGCATACTGGTGTCATCACTGTTGTCTGTTTTTTCCTGTCTAGTGGCAGGTTGTTCCTCTTTTCACCTTGGCTGTTCACATCTATGCTGTTGAGCAGTCATTTTGAAAAAATAAATTCTGCCCACCATAAAGTCTTTTAAGCAAAACTTTTTTTAATTTGCACAAATTTCATTACAATTTGAAGGTCTGTAGAAAATTTGTTGGAAATTTGCCAGTCCACAAATGCACATAATAACCTTTTCATATCCAATTTGTTCACTTGGAATATTGAGATTCCAACTACAGCTTTTTCTCCTGATTCTTTTGCAATTCCAGCATGGAAAATATGCCGCCATGATGGGTACAAGAGGGAACTGCTTCACGGCTCCATCTCAACTCCAAAACCACACAAAATATTGCTGCTTGCCAAATTTAAGGACACATTATTGAAATCTGTCCAATTATTTCAAGAGAAAAAAAAATTGTTTGGCAAATCCATCTGCCTCTGTCTAGAACTTTTCACTGCACTACAGTATCCAACTCGGGAGAGCACACCGCCATGACAGGTCACAGAGCCAAGCTACTCTAAGACGCCTTTCCACAGCAACAACCCCCACCCAATAAAAATCCATTTCGATGATCCTATTTGATGATCCATTAACCTAAAACTGGCACTTCTTCATCTAGGATAATATTGCATCTAAAAAAAAAAAAAGAGGAAGAGTACAAAGTAGAGAATCAAGTGGAACCTAAAAGAGTGGGGTAAGGAAAAAAGGAGCCGCGATTTGGAAACTATTCCCAACCAACCCCCCTCCTCAGGAAACCCGTTCATCGGAAATGATCCCCCCTCCACATACCCCCATTTAATGCTTGTTTAAAACGCCAGAAAATATCCCCCCCATTATTTGCGGACCACGGAAACTCAAGGAGTATATGGCGGAGAAAAAAGATTTTTTTTTAACTTTTACCCCCATTGTTTTATTCCCACTTATTCCCCCCTTCTTCTCACAGATGAGCCTTTTTTTCTCTCTCTCTCAGATAGCGAGGAAAAAGAATCTGGGGATGGAAAGAAGTGGGAATCGAACAGGAAATTAACGCACTTTTCAGGATCTTTGCATATATGGGATAGAAAATAAGGGGGGGGGGGGGCAGTGCGGGGGAATAATAACCCCCCCTAAGGTATATGAAGGGGTGTTTCTTCTATTTCATTATTCCGTGAATTCATCCCTTTTTTTCCTTGTTTCTCTCGGGGCTGCTTTCGAAATGGCGAACCGTTATCTTTTAATCTTCGATTTCCTCAAGTTTTTTGTATGGGAGAGAGAGAGACTCCTTTCCGGCCCAACGGGCCTCGGGAAAAAGTTGGCACGCCATTTCCGCAAACCATCCATGAAGTCTTTTTCTTTCCGCGCTTGAAAAAAGTGATAAAGAGCAAGCGTCTTTGGGAGAACATAATTTCTACAAAATCGGAGCATTTTGGGAAGTTGAGGTATTCAGCGAGGAGGAAGGAAAAAAACCCATGGTGCAGGGTTTTACTCAGCGAAACACATGCTGCAGAATGTGCCTGATTTTTTTTTTCAAATTCGAATAGATCTTGAACTACATTCTAAATTTGATAGATGGAAATATCCGTGTTACAGTACGTCTTTAGAATTAAAGAACGACGCCTTACGTAACGAAAAACAAACCGCAGGAGAACCATGAAAGAGACCGACTCTCAAACCTGTAATACAGCAGTTGGAACAAACCCAAACAAAAATTAAACCGCGAGATAAAATTCACAAAAATGGGATCAAAGAAAAATGTAAGATGCCGTAAATTCTCGTTACAACGAACTTTTCGGGAGTAAAACCCAATTGTTATTCTATAGAAATAGAATTCGGCGTACAGGGACATTTTCTTTTCAGATTTTGTGCAATTAGCAACACGAGACCCGTTTTTTACAATACTTTAATGAACAATGATTGTGAGTCACCACAACATTCTTACTAAAGCACAGTAAAAATCTCCTGGCAACAATGTTTTTTTTCTTTCAAAACACAGTGAGAACTCAACATGAGGACAATTTGACAAAGGGACATTAATTTTTCAATAAAAAGGGCATAAAAAAGGCCCAACATACAGACACTTACTCAAGATGAGGACATTACATGATAAAATTGCCAATGAATTTCACAAAAATTGACTTTTATTTTGCTTGATTGCAAGAAACAGATATTTCTAACCCCAAGATTTATGCAATGAAAATGCTTTGTCATTTCTCCCATCATTTTTCCATCCATTCAGATAATTAAAAAAATTAACCTATTGCATAGAGGGACTTCCTTCTCTCTTTGTG